AATTTGCTGAATTGTGGTGAGTGGGGATAAGAAGTACGTAGGAACAGCACAGGAGTCCCACAGAGTGGATTGAGTACAGACAGATCAGCCTGGGTTCCTGTTTCCCACCTCCGTGGCGCTTGCACAAGGCATTTGTTTAAGGTTAAGGGAAGCAGGAATGTGCTCTCTACCCAACCCTGTTTCTCTCTCCTTCTCTCTCTCTCTCTGCCAGAACAGTTGGTAAACTCTTAGTGCTTTTCTAAGAACCACTACACTAAAATGTCTCTGTTGAAAACAATTACTGTGCCCATCACACACCTTGAGGTAAATTAATTTGTGGACACGCGCCAGCTCTTAGCATCCTGTAAAGAGGCAAACACTGAACAAGAGAAGTTTTGGGAGCTGCTTTACCACAGAAAGGCAAAAAGGATCCCTCAAGAGGCATTTCTGTCAGCCCAGAATGTGAGGAATAACAGCATTTATTTGTAAAATACTTGTGTGCCGGCCACCTTACATATACACCCTCTCATTAACCCTCACCAACATTCTGGAAAGCCGCTATTGTTAGCTCCATTTTGCAGATGAAGGAACTGAGGCTCAGAATGGTTCCATGATTGTTCCAGGTGAAAACGATCTGATAGGCACTGTACACCTAGAATAGTGATCTTTGTATCTCCAGCACCAAGTAGAGAATACAGCAGGTAGTAGGAGCTTAATAAAGCAGGAGGAGCTGGGGATTTAGCTCAGCGGCACCGTGCATGCCTTGCAATGACAAGGTCCTGAGTTCTATCCCCAGTACCCCCCAAAATAAATAAATAAATAAAGCAGGAGGAATCTTGAGCTTCATTTTCTCCATACTCAGAGAAGGCTTGGACAAGGACTGGCAAACTATAACCTGCAGACCAAATCTGGCCTGCTGCCTGAATTTTTAAAAATGGGTTTTACTGGAACTCAGTCACACTCATTCATACACATATTGTCTATGATTACTTTTATGCTACAAAATCAGAGTCCAGTAGATATACAGCCAAAGGTAGTTACTGTCTGGTTCCTTAAAATGCTTGGGGATTCCCCTAGTCTTGGGTATGGACCCTTTCAATTAAGGGTCTCTTCTCTGGGAAGAAATAAAAATTCCTCAACTTTTCTTCTTTCCCATTCTTTATATCCTGTGGTTTATTATTATTTTTCCTTAGCTCTTCCATTGCCTAACATACTACGTATTTTAATTATATGTTTTTAAATTTTTTCTACCCTCCCCACTAAAATGCTCCACATGGGTGGTAGTTTGCATTTGTGATAATTCCTAGGTCCCTGGAATCTTCCCTAGCACCTGGTACATAGTGGGTGTTCCCTGAATATTTGTTAAGTGCGTAAACACTGGTTTCTTTGAAGATATTGGTTAACCGAAGTTTGCTGGAGGCTTTCTATTTTGAGGAAGACTTTGGGGCTTATGGGGGGACCACATGGCCCCCAACACCTGTGAGGAGGGTGTCTTTTTTATGTTATAGAGGGGACAACTGGGACTCTGTTTAAGTCCATGCTTCTCAAACTTCAATGTGAACGTGAATCTTTAGAGAATCTCATTACAATCTAATTCAACAGATCTGAGCGGGACCCTAGGCACCGCACTTGGCACAAGCTCTTGGCTGATGCGGGTGCTGGTGGTTCATAGCCTACCAATTGACAAGGACGCAAGGCTCTCATTCACAGTCTATACTAGAATTTGGAATGGGGCTTCAAATCTGGAGGTTGTAGAGGCCACCACTATTTCTCTTCTTATCCTTTTCCTCTATCTCTATGCCTCTCAGTCTTATGATTTCACTAAACCTGCCTTTCCTCTCCTTCTAGGCTGCTCTCTTGCCCCAAACACCATTCCTCCAGACTTTCCTTTCCGTAGTAAACTCACCTTTAGCGTTGCCAGCCTCTTTGTTCCTCACAAGCTCTTTTACTTTGACTATACATGTGCCCGAGACTTTCTGATCATTCAAGTGGCCAATCTCATGTTTCTCCTTTATTTTGCAGTTCAGTGGCTGAAAAAAGGTGACAGACCCTATGACCCCAGGCAGGCAGGCAGGCTTACCCTTACCTTATAACCTGAAGGAGTTATTTCTGATGTTTGAATGTTAAGGCTGTGCCCTAGCCATCCACCTGCATCCTCTGTATGTAGTATCTCTCATGGCCAACCAACTCCTCTGCAGTGACCGTTTTTTGGTTCTTATAGTTTTCCCCCTACTACCTATCTGCCTGCCAGTTCTGCTTCTCTTCTGAATCTTTAATTATGGTTTCTGGACCTCAGTCCTTATTCCTCCATTTTCCCTCTAATCTTTCTCCAGTCTTTCTATTATCCACCCTATATTCTCAGGGAAGTTTCCAAATATCTATCTTCCACCCAAACTCAACATTTTCATTTCCAAAGTCCCATGGACATTTTTTTTGCGTGGTAGTTTCATTGACATTTTCAACCAACATATACAGAGTCTTATTCATCTTCTTTTTTCTAAGCTAGCACCCCCATGTCCCTGTTTCCAAGGTAATTCTTTCTTGCTTCCCTCTGCTGCTGAGTGGCTTTAAGAGAATGGCTTATCTTCTCTGAGAAATTCCTACCCTATTAAATATGGATATTGGTGACTATCAGGTTGGGATAATATATGTTCAGAGTACTTGGCATGTGCTGATAGTTTCCCCTTCTCTCCTACTGTTCAGATAATTTCAGCATGACTTATTTGTTCAGTCCTTTTAATACCAGGGGATGGTTCACCTTCTCGGGTATGTGTTTTTTGGAGGTTGGGGATGGGAAAATAGTACTCAAGAGAAAAATCTAACCATCGAAGGCACCTCTATAGAAGGCAGAATATTGGGTTGCAGAGAACTTCTCTGAAGTGGCATATGATATATTACCCCCATAGGTTTGGGGGGGCTGGTGAATATAAAATTATGAACATAATGATGGAGACTCTGTGTCTCATCCATATGCTCCTGCCTCCCAGTGTTGTCATAGTTTTATGCCTAGGGTCTGTAATGTGGAACTTAATGTTTGCACCAGAAAGACTTTGAAAGACTTTTGCTTATCACATTGTATCTTAACCACAAGAATTTGCATATATATCTCCTGTACTTCCACACTGCTCATCTGTAAACACATCAGGATGCCTATCATAGTGTATAGCTAAAGTCAGCTTCCAAAGACAGGACTCGGGCACAGGCTCCCAGAAGAAGGGAGTGAGGAGTGCAAAGATTATGAAAGGTTCCTACCCATGCATAAGGTGGACACTGATACCAGAAGAGGCCCCAGAAGGCTGGAATTGCCCCCAGAGCCACCATGAATGCCATGACCCCTTACTGAAAAGGGGAAGAAAAAAAATCCAACATTTCTTAAGCGTAAACTGTGCCTGGCACTGTACAAATTTATCTCACTCCCTCTTCAAGATAACTTTATGAGTTAGGCACTATTAGGCACTATTACTCTCAAGTGAGAGGTAAGAGAAATGAGACTCGGAGTGTTTAGAAAACTTGCTCAAAGCTGGGTAAGAAGTGACAGAGATGTGATTTGAATGCAGAACTGCATGACTCTTAAAGCCCATTCTTTTTCCACCACAGGAACAACATATTATATTGTTTTAAAAACCTCCAGATATTTGCAGATACTGTTCCCATCAGTAAGGATTTTCACTGAGTGAATGCATCTCTAAATGCATTGTTATCTCCTGTTACATTAAAGAGCTAATTACTCAAATAAGCACTCTTGTACCATCATATGTACAAGGACTTCTTAGCTGACATTTCAGTTATTTGACTTTTATGTTGATCTCTCAGATAGGCTTGAGCATCATGAAAATGAGGCTCAGAGTCCTAGTCATTTCTCCATTCACACTGTCTGGAACATAATGTGTACATTCAGTGCATGTTTGTTGAATGAAGTAAGTTCTCTAGAACTCCCAGTGTCCATAGTGGGAGTTCATTGGTCCCCTTTAACAGGATGGTGATTGTAGCCTCATCTTATCTGCTCATTGCTTGGCCCTAACTGAGCAGAAGACAGTGGGTCAGCCTTTTGCTAGCTGCATATTTATCAGCAAATAACCACTGACAAGCATAGGTCTCTCACAAGGCTGGATTTCTCTGAGGTGATGTAAGACACAGTGTGGTGGGAAACACACACTTTACCAGGAGTCAGATATTCTGAATTTTAATCCTATTTTGCTTGCTATAGAAGCAATGAGGATCCTCTGATCCTCAACTTTCAAAAAGGCAAAACACATTGTATTAGCAATATGGGAACACTTCAGCGGTTTTTCAACTTTTCAGTATCTAGAATCTATTACACAGTTTTCTCCTTTGACCTCACATTCTAAAGATCTGATTTACTAATAAAACACTTTTATTTAGTAAATGAAAAAAATTTATAGACCAGAAGCCATTTATAACTCCAAATAAAATGTACTGATAATGTGAGATAACTAATGCTAGATATCAAACAGATTAATTCCAGCCCAAAGCAAAGATCTTGGATGTTTCTGTTACCTATGAGGCTGCATCTAGCTAAAGCAATGATTCCTACTGTTTCCCTGAAATCTTTCTGAAATAATGGAAACAGCCAGTAGATTCCTATCTAACTTTTGAGCCCTCAAGGTACCTGTTTCCCAAGTAGACACAAATGGACTCAGAAATTACTGGGATCTGCGATTTTGTCTTACTAGAACATGTCCTGTAGGAGAATTGGGTCCCTCTCTTGCTGGAATTCAGTGATTCCTACTTGAGAAATTTCACTCACAAAGAAGAAATAATTCTTCACATCTCCAAGGATAGGAGAAAAAAATTAAGATGACAGGAACATAACAGACTTGAACAATGACAGTGAATTTTCAAATGGAAAACAACCATACAAAATAAAAACTCCAGGGAGACAGATGACTTAGACAGAAGTTGATACAAGAAACCAACAGACAATTGGTTGGTGCAGGAAATGCATGCTACAGGTTCCCTTATTGGGTATGAAGCAAAGTTAACACCAGCTCAATACTTACAAGTAATAGGAGTAGGAATAAGCATTTCTTCTATATATTGATGGGCAGTCAGATGAAGGAAATGTCCAAAAAGGGGGGAAAAAAGAAAAGACAAACAAACAAGAATTAGCTTTATATGAAATCTTGATTCTTAGAAATGCACATATTATTTCAGCATCCCTAAGCTCAAGGAGATGCAGGTTTCTCTAATTACTTTCTCTGAGAATCAGATACTTTCAACTGCAGAAGAAATGAGAGAGACTGCTCTTATTATAGGGAAGCTCAATACTTCATGAAGTGGAAGCCAACTTTCATGGTAGCTGTTAGAAAGTTCTTGCTTACAGTCAACTAAAACTAGCTTCTTTGAAATTAGGATTCTTTGCTCTTAGATTCTTTGGTCTTGGATCAGCTTTCTGCGAAAACTAAGAACTAGTCTACCACTCTTCTACATGACAGCGCTCCTAACTGTGACCTAAGCAAAACTACAAAAACTTCTTTGATCTTCCTTATTTAAGATCAAATCACATCAGAATCTATTTAGTAAGGCAACACCAAAGCAAGGAAATCATATAGCCAGCATCCAAGATGGCTCCCCAGTGACCTACACTTCACAGTATTGAGACTTATGTACAGACTGTCCCTCCCACACTGAGTCAGGGGTGGCCTTGTATGACAGGAGAATGTGGAAATAGTTGTCTTCTAGGTTTTCAAACCCTTGTTGCTCTGTCCAGATCTTTGGAAACTTCTCTTGAAATCTCAAATCTCCAGGAAAGAAGGCCAACTTGCTTGAGGTCATCATGACAGAGTTATCACATGGAAAGGCCCTGAGACTATATAAAGAGAAAGAAATGCAAAGGTAGCCTCCAGCTATTCCATCCCTATCTCATGAATTTATTCCAGCTGACACCTTTGACATCACAGAACAGAAACAAGTCTTTCCACTTAAGCCCTGCCCCAAAAGACTCATGCAAATAACCATATTCTTTAAATCTATATTTTGGGAGTCATTTCTTACACAGTAGTAGACAAAGAGGACACAATTCATCCTTAGCATAAAATAATATGGTACTAAAAAGTAGGAGTTTCAACTTTCAGTCTGAAAAGATCCTAACTTAAATAAATTCTGTACTTTGTGTTTTCAAATATTACCTAGGTGTGTTGAACTAGATTAGTAGTTTTCAAATTGTGTTCCTAGGAGTCCAGGGGTTCTGTAGAGCAGCCTCACTGTAACTGGGGAGAAGGATATTGACAAAGTGAGACTACTGGTTCCCCAGCATTCAACAAAGTCAGAACATCTTCATTTTTATCTGTTTATAAATTGGAGTTTTATCTAGGATTTCACATGCCTAAGAATTCCACTTTCCAAAAGAAAGCTTGAAAAATCACTGCCTTTAATCCCTTTTTAATGTCTCCACCAGCTCCTGGCTTCTGAGCAATCACAAACCTCAAGTAAGTCTATGATATTCCCTTTGCTGTAATTTGTCTGTTGTAAGAAAATAAACAGGAATGTTTTTATTTCACATCAGATTTTGCCACAGTGATAGTAAGTGATACATTTGAGGACTGAGAAAAATTGCTAGAGAATTCAGATTCCCAAATATCCATCTGAGGAAATGAGAGTACTTTTCTTCCTTCTTGCATTATTTGATTAATTACAACCATTAACCCATTTGTCTGTCACAGAAAGATACAGTCTTTTAAACCACAAAGACAGAAATGTGCTTTCAGGTTCCCAAATTCCTCCTTTATAATAAGAAGTAGCCAAAGTCCCCAAGTTTATCTCTAAACTTCCTCTCAGCTATTGGAAAAGCCTAAATTTAAAGCCCTTGGGCCCAAAAGAAAAGTGATTCTGAGAGATGAGAAGATATAAGCTCCATGTCTCCTTGGGAGGCTGAGCTGGAAGCAACAAGCTATGGTGCAGAAAAGTCTGGCTACTAAGAAGACTATTCAATATCTTAGATAAAACAGTGGCCTGGGATGATGAAAAAGTAAAAATCTCAGGTTATGATGGATAGAAATTGGATGATCCTATGGCAAGTCATCAAATATCTTTCACCAGTCCTATAGGTGGGCACAGTAGGGAGATAATTTCTTTACTTCATTTTTGGATAGTGCAGTGCCTTTATAAGAAGAGAAATAGGGACCTGAGCTGACACACAACTGTTCTGCTTCACTGTATGATGCCCTCCACCCTTTTTATGGTGCAGCAAGAAGCACTTTTCTGATGCTGAGCAGATGCTGGGGTTATGCTATTGGGCTTCTGAGAATCCAGAAATATAAGAAATAAGTTTACCTTCTTTAAATATCACCCAGACTCAAGTGTATTGTTATAGCAACAGAAATCAGTAAGATAACAAGCAAAAAAGATACTTAAAATAAGCTTTTTTTTGAGACAGGGTTTCATATGAAGTTGAGACTGAACTGGAACTCACTATGTAGCTCAGGATGGTCTCAAACTCACAGTGATCCTCCTGCTGCAGCCTCCCAAGTGCTAGGATTACAGGCATGCACCCCCATGCCAGGCTACAGTAAATATTGAAGTATTAACTCAGGAATTAAATTGAAAACAGTACCAACAACAAAAATAGACATGAGGAGATACCTAAGCAAGGTGCAAACCCAGACTTTCAGCTCACCAAAGGCAAATTCTGGGGAAAATGAGGTGGAAAATCTGATAATCAACCACCTGGATATCCTGAACTGATAGCACAGGAAATAACAAAACAGATGAACGAGGCTCTGGAAAAATCAAAACAGAAATAATTTCACAGATAACTAGAAATGGTGAGCAAAATGAAAGACATGATTAAAGACTCTGGAACAGAAACAGAAAAAAATAGATAAGCTCTAGACCATGATGGAGGCCATGAATGCCCAGCATAGGAAAGAAATGGAAACCATGAATGTCCAGTACAGGAAAGAAATGGAATCCGTGAGACAGATTCAAACATCCAGGAGATAAAAACTATTGAAAGTATTCACAGCAGAATGAACCAATGTGGAGACCGAATATCAGGTATAGAAGACAGGATGGTGGTCAATGATGAGGAAAAGAGAGATCTCTTAAAAATAGTAAGGGACCTTGAGAAATCAATACATAGCTCTTAGGTGATGCAAATAAGAATAACATAAGACTGAAAGGAATCCATGAAAAAGCAGGAAAAAGTACAAATGATATTTTTAAAAAAATGTTCACAGAATGAAGGAAAAATTCCCAGAGGAAAAGAATTAGACATACAGATAAGTGAGACATATAGGACTCCAACTAGACATAATAAAAAAGAAATGTACACACAGACACATAATAATCAAGATCCCAGAAACCAAACAGAAGGACAAAATCCTAAAAGCAGTTAGATAAAAAGAAAAACAACAAACAACAAACAAACAAACAAATCACATACAAAGGAAAGCCCATCAGAATCACAGCAGAATTTTCAACACAAACCCTCAAGTCAAGGAGAGCCTGGAGTGAGGTATTTCAAGCCCTAAAAGAAAATAACCTCCAACCTAGGCTGATGTACCCTGAAAATTGATGTACTCAAAATTGATGGGGAAATAAGATACTTCTATGACAAAGAACACCTGAGACACTTCATAAAGACCAAACCAGCAACCAAACAATTTTAAACAATATCCTAGAAAAAGACTATTAAGATCACAGCTCCATGAGGCCCAAAAGAGAAAATCCATCAGGCAGGGCAATAAATTAAAGGGAGAGGTGGAAAAATAAAAAAATAAAAGAGCCAACAACAGGAAAATAGCATGACAAGGATGTCACTACGTATCAATTATAACCATCAATGTTAATGTCCTCAATTCACCAATCAAAAGAAATAGGCTAGCAGAATGGATTAAGAAGCAAAATCCAACAATAAGTTGTATACAAGAAACATACATAGTTCAAAAAGAAATTCATGGATTCAAAGTAAAAGGATGGAAAACAGTTCTCCATGTGACAGGAGCCCAGAAAAACGCAGGGGTAGCTATCTTATTTGTAGACTAAGTAGATTTCAAGCCAAAACTAATTAAGAGAGACAAAGAAGGTCACTATATTCTTGTAAAGGGAACAATCCAAGAGCAAGAGATGAAAATTATAAATATATATGCACCAAATACTAATGTCTCCAACTATATAAAAGAAATATTAAGGGACATAAAAAACAAATAAGCACTAATACAACTGTAGTGGGGGACCTCAATACCCCACTGTCACAAACAGACAGATCATCTAGACAAAAAAGCAACAATGAAATACTAGAACTAAACCAAGCTTTTGAACAAATGGCCTTAATAGATGTCTACAGAGTGTTCCACCCCACAAAATCATAATATACATAATTTTCAGCTGCACTTGGGTCATTCTCAAAAATAGACCACATACTAGCTCATAGAACATGTTTAAGTGAGTGCAAAGGAACTGAATTTATCCTCTCTATATTGTCAGATCGTCGTGTAATTAAACTGGAGATCAATAGCATAAGAAACTTCATAAACTCCACAAACACATAGAAACTGAATAACACTCTCCTGAACAACCAATGGGTCACAGAGGAAATTAAAGAAAAAATTAGACAGTTTCTACAACTAAATGATAATGCCAATACAACATACAGGAATCTATTGGACAATGAAAAGCAGTTCTGTGAGGAAAATTCATAGCAGTGAATGCCCATACTAGGAAAACAGAGTGCACTCAAATAACCTAACACTGATCCTAATGCTGAACCTCAAGCTCCTAGAAAAAGAAGTGCAAGACAAACCCAAAGCTCATACAAGGCAGGAAATTATAAAAATCAAAGCAGAAATCGATGCAATGGAGACTAAGAAATACAAAAAAAATCAATGAATCAAAGAGTTGGTTTTTTGAAAGAATAAGTAAAACTGATAAACCTTTAGCCAAATTTATGAAAGAAAAGGCTCAAATCCATGCAATTAGAAATGAAGAATGTGAAGTCACAACAGATCCAGGAGAAATAACAGAGGATTGTCAATACCTACTTCAAGAACCTGTACTCTAATAAAATGGGAAACACAGAAGAAATGGTCAA